GTAGATATGATAAAGCCCAGTAGGCTCAGGAACCTGTACACCAGTTGAGGGTTGAGAGGCGGGACCAAAGAGCCAGAGCTCAACCCCCGCAAGCACAACTAGACGAGTACACTCCCTCGGCACACACGCCAAAGAATACACTCATAGGTCCTGAGGGTGCCAACTGTGCCACCAGCCTTCACGAGCCGCCATGGTCTCGTGGACAGTGTTGGGGTCACGGTGTCGCGTCCCCTTCCCCCTGGCTTCCTGCTCACCTGTCCACCCCCACACTTACCTGGTCCTGGTGCTCACCTGTCCACCCCCACCACTTACCTGGTCCTGGTGCTCACCTGTCCACCCCCACACTTACCTGGTCCTGGTGCTCACCTGTCCACCCCCACACTTACCTGGTCCTGGTGCTCACCTGTCCACCCCCCCACACTTACCTGGTCCTGGTGCTCACCTGTCCACCCCCACACTTACCTGGTCCTGGTGCTCACCTGTCCACCCCCCCCCACACTTACCTGGTCCTGGTGCTCGCCTGTCCACCCCCCCCACACTTACCTGGTCCTGGTGCTCGCCTGTCCCCCCCCACACTTACCTGGTCCTGGTGCTCACCTGTCCCCCCCCACACTTACCTGGTCCTGGTGCTCACCTGTCCCCCCCCCACACTTACCTGGTCCTGGTGCTCACCTGTCCCCCCCCCCACACTTACCTGGTCCTAGTGCTCACCTGTCCACCCCCCCCCACACTTACCTGGTCCTGATGCTCACCTGTCCCCCCCCCACACTTACCTGGTCCTGGTGCTCACCTGTCCCCCCCCCACACTTACCTGGTCCTAGTGCTCACCTGTCCACCCCCCCACACTTACCTGGTCCTGGTGCTCACCTGTCCACCCCCCCACACTTACCTGGTCCTAGTGCTCACCTGTCCACCCCCACACTTACCTGGTCCTGGTGCTCACCTGTCCCCCCCCCCCACACTTACCTGGTCCTGGTGCTCACCTGTCCACCCCCCCACACTTACCTGGTCCTGGTGCTCGCCTGTCCACCCCCCCACACTTACCTGGTCCTGGTGCTCACCTGTCCACCCCCCCCACACTTACCTGGTCCTGGTGCTCACCTGTCCACCCCCCCCACACTTACCTGGTCCTGGTGCTCACCTGTCCACCCCCCCCCACACTTACCTGGCCTGTAGCGTGATCTGTCCACTCCTGGGTATTGGTGGGGGGGCGCGTGTGTGAAGGCGCTTCTACTCACCCTCTGAGAAAAACATCCTGGTGGCTGGAGGAGAATATCTATACTAATGACCCGCTCTGAGGCGCCAAATACGGCATGTGTGTTTTGTGAGGGGGTGATGTGAGAGGGGGGTGTGAGGGGGTGATGTGAGGGGGGGTGTGAGGGGGTGATGTGAAGGGAGGGGTGCCTACTGGTGGGTTGGTCACACGGCTGGCAGCGGCCACATTGCTGCTTTGGCTGCCGGCGCCGCACTGATCGTACCTGATGTTTATAGGCGTATAACTGTCACAGGAAAATGATGACGAGCTTTGTGTATATCAAATCGTTGTTAATGCACTTTGTCTTGTGTATATTGCAAGGTTGATGCGTAAGGCAGTGTTAGATGTTTAGGAAGGTGAAGTGTTGTTAGAGCAAGGCAGCTTCTGAAGAGTACGATAACTGACAAAACTTACTGGCAACATTTCATTCACACTTTTTTGACTTGTATGTTTATACACAATTTATATGGTGTGTGTGTGTGTACACTAGGAGGGTTACCCGGCTGTACCCGGGTCTCTCTCTCCCTTTCCCACGTCCCACTGTAGCCTCCCTCTCTTCCCCCCCTCCCTCTACCACCTTTCTATCCTCTCCCTCTTCTCTTTCACCCTCTCCACCTGACTCCTCTCTCCTTCCCGCTTCATATATATCCCTTCTCCTGTCTACACTCACAGCCCCGCTCCTGTGCCAGGTAAGTCCACTACGGGCTCACCATAGCCCGTAGTCTTTTGTTACCACGTCCAGCAGTCTCCCACTCCACTCCGCCCCTTTATACACCAAAATTATATATAATATATATATATATATAATATAATATGGGAGGCAAGGTGCTCGAAGCTAGCCTTACCCGACTTTCCATGGTGACTGCTGACGGGTGTGTGGCCAACATGGTCAGGTCGAGGTTGGCTCAATTGCCATCATTAAAAGGTGGCATATAAAAGACCGAGCAAATCGGCCACCGGTCGATCCGCTAAAGAAAAATGAAAAATCAAAATTTTCTATGTCATAAAACATTACCATATTTTCATTTTTTTTTACAAAATTCTACTTGTTTTACCTTAGCCATAGTAAGGTAAAGAAATAATAATGAAGTTATTATACAAATTAATATAGTAATTATCTAATTTTTTATATTTTAAATAATTTATTTAAAATTAGTCCTTGGAGGGGGGGGGGGAGGTCGGTTGGGCTTCCAGTAGTTAATAGCACGACCTTATAGGATAGACTCGCCCACCACGGGGGGGGGGTATACCCGTCTAGTATATGATAAATGTGTGTGCACCTGGTGTCTAAATACTTCTCTATGTACACAATTATCCTCCAGACAGTCACCTCGAAGGGGGTGGAGTATTACTTGCCTGGCCTTTCTGAGGTTTTAATGGGGGTGGTAGGAGGGGGGGGTTAATTGTTTGGAGGAGGGGGGGGGGAATAAGAGCTCCATACCCCCTCCCCATCTCCCCATCTAGGCATGACGAGCGGCGGCCTTGTGAGGGGCCAGAGTGAGGTAAGGTAAACTTTTGCTCACAAATATCCAACCAAGTGAGGGATAACATGCATGCCCTGCCCCCCCCCCCACCCAGTCTGAGGGAGTGATTCTAGATCCATGAATGGGCTGACTAATGAATACTTGCCGACCCCCCACTACTGCTTACCTGTTGTAAACCTTCTCCCCCCCCCTCACCCACCACCACCTCCCTTGGCCAGCGTGTATGGCAACTGGTGGAGGTGGCACGGGTAAAGAGTATACAAGAGCGAGTTGCTCCATTCATCCATGGCAGAGCTTTACTATAGAGGCTGCTGGGGGGTCCCTTATGACTGTTGGAGGAAGAGGGCGGGTCTACCCTTCCTCATTAGTGCTGCTTCCCCTCACACGCACACGCACACGCACGCACACACACACACACACACACACACACACACACACACACACACACACACACACACGGGATCCGGGATCCGGGATTTAGGCGGGATCCAAGAGTCAATGCTCGATCCTGCAAGCACAAATAGGTGAGTACACACACACACACACACACACACACACACACACACCCTCGCTGCTAGGGGAGGGTGGTAGTTGTGAAATGGAAAAGGTACAAGTGTTGTGAGATGGGAAGGGTGGTGGTTGTAAAAGGGGGGGGGGAGGTGGTAATTGTACAGCCCGTCCTCCTGAACGTTCACAGCCTCACTGAACGTCACAACTGTTTACTAAATTGCCCGAACCTTACCAACCAGAGGACCTACGACCAGAAAACGGGACATAAAGTCTATTTCGCGAACCACCATGTTTCGTACATCAGTTTTTGGCCTTAAGTCTACGTCAATATGCGACGGGCTATTATGAGGGCGTGTTGCTAGTGGTGAGAGGGGAGGATGGTGGTTGTGACTGAGGGGCGGAGATTGTGGTGGTTAAGGGGGGGGGGAGGTGGTTTAGAGAGAGGGTAAGTGTTGGGGAGAGAGGGATGGAAGTCGGGTTTGAATTTATTATTATTAACATCTTTATTGACAATTACAATTTTGCCTAATCTGAGGATTTTGATAGTCTTATTGAAGTGAGGATAATGCTGGTATTCACTGTCACGCAGGACAGAGGGTCATACATAAGACAATAGGTCTTCGGGTTTGAAGAGATTGAGGGGACACAGCAGACCTGGGGGCCAGATTCACGAAGCAGTTATGCAAGCACTTACGAACCTGTACATCTTTTCTCAATCTTTGTCGGCTTTGTTTACAATTATTAAACAGTTAATGAGCTCCGAATCACCAGGAGGCTGTTTATAACAATAACAGTTGATTGGCAAGTTTTCATGCTTGTAAACTGTTTCATAAATGTAACCAAAGCCGTCAAAGATTGAGGAAAGATGTACACGTTCGTTCGTAAGTACTTGCGTAACTGCTTCGTGAATCTGGCCCCAGAGACAGCAACATCATAGTGTGGGAAGCCGTAGAGAGATGGTCGATGGTCCTCCCTACCATCTAATTAACAAGAAAATGTTAATTATATAAATTCGGGCAGAATTATTTAGAAGCGAGTGAAGGAACACATACACAGATGGATATGCAGAGAGGCGTAGGTGGTGGGTGGGGTCAGTGGGGCTCTACTGGCTTCCTTAAACCATGACTTAATCACACTCGACTTGAGAATGGTCCAGGACGGACCGAAACGTCGGCTTCGTCCCTTCACCTTCTAGTGTGTGGTCTGGTCAACCTAATCATTGTGTGTCTGTGTCTCTCTCTCTCTCTCTGATTATGGCATGTGGGGGCGGCAATAGGGGGCGGCGCCAGTTGGCTCCTGTACTGATCACATACACACATACCTCACCACGATGCCAGCATCATCACATCTCTTCTCCTTAAATACCAACCTTCATTACCTAACAACTTTCTAGCTATAGCTTCATCCTCTTTAAGAACGCCAACTAAAAGAATCTGGGAAACCAGGAAGCGAATACCCGATAAAAGAAGTGGGGGAATATTAGCATAAATGACAAGAAAAGAGGAAGTGATGCAAGCAATGTGAGCTGAGCGGTGGAGTCTAACATTGCATGGTGGGCATACCCCAGCATACCCACGCTACCCACGACGACACACCGCTAAACAAGCCCTATGTTTCCGTTAAGAAATACGGCTGAAGAATGTGATTGTTAACGTGTGTGTGTTCTTCTTGAATGGGGCTGTTTTAAGACGCCAGCTGTCGCTTCTGGAAGATCCGGTATATTAATTACGCGTTTTGTTTGCTCCTTACAGAGTGCCGTGGTGACGACGCCCCTCCACACAAGGTAAGTGTTCTCCAGGCCAACACAAGATGAGGTGTGGCGAACTTTTCCACGGGTTCATAGAAAATGGGTTGTGGTGAGTCCAGGGAATCTCCGCTTTGTTGTTGTGGTATTGCATGTTTTTTTCTCTAGGGGAAAATATTCAAGAAAAATATAATAAAGGTTTGTGTTGCGACCAGAAAAATGCATTTTTTGTGCGTTATTACAGAAAACGGTGACGTGTTTAAATATCAGCAGGTACCATAAAAAACGGACGTTTACTGACAGTATACCAAGGACATGTTATTCCAAGAGCTGGAATACATCGTGTGTACCGTTCAGTACATCGTGTTAATACATACATACACACATCACAAACAATAAACATATGATATGGGTAAGACTTGGGCAGCGCTGCCCACTTTCCACGAGCGAGGTCAAATGTTAAGAGGTATGGCAGTTTTTTGGGGGTACAGGTAGAAATACACGCTGTCAGAGCAAATATGGGAAAACCTTTCCCTTCCCCTAACGCAATTAACGTCCGTAAGTAGAGCAAGGGGTCTGAGGATTATGCAAATTCCCCAAGTTGCTCTTAAGTGGAAAGACTAAGTTTTATGACAGTAAAGAGCGCGAACACTAAACTTTAAACATTTATTTTTCAACACGCTGTCATTATACCCAGCCTTCATATCTAACTTATGGACAAGATGGCCTACTGACAGTTGTTGTATGTCAAAGTTTGCATACACCAGCAAGGTCTTCGTCTTGTACGACGGAGTGTATCATAAGACACTTGGCCAATCTCCCACCAAGAAGTTGCTTCCAAAAATAAACAAACCTGACCACGTGTGCACTATGCCTTAGTCTAGGAGGCATAATAAACGTGGGATCCCGAGTGAGTTCCAAGCGTAAGTTACACATTCATGAATGAATTGTGATGGATATAAATGGGAGCTGCATCGGAATGGGCTAGTAGGCGCTCTGCAGCTATCTTTTTATGTTCTTGTGTTGCTATACTGCATTCTTCACCACACTGTCCTCTCGTAATGACACAATTATCCTCAATGCTTCGACACAGTCTCTGAACACAAACGAACAGTAAATGCAGGACAAGTACCCAGCGGCCGAGCGGGGAAATGGTTAGTAGAAGACTTCGTCGTAGACGAATGTCGTAGTGGAAGAGTAGCGTCAGGGCTTAACCCAGCTGCTGGACAGTAACTCCTGGTTGACGGCACCCGCCGGCGGCAGGAGCACCCGTCAAGCCCGCCCTCAACTCACTCACCCGGGAACGCCGAAGAGTGTGTCCGCGCTACATTCTTGTGCTTTTTGCTTTGCCATCTTTTTCGCTGTCTTTGCTTCTCGTCGTCCTGTTCTTCCCAATTTCACTATCATTTTGTGGGTAAAGTGCCCCCTAACTTCACCAAATACTGTCAGTACTCTATTGTCACTCTTTCCCCCATGGAGGCTTCCAACTTAACTTCAGTTAAGAGCCGGTCTTCAGGGAGCCGGTCGGCCGAGCGGACAGCACGCTGGACTTGTGATCCTGTGGTCCTGGGTTCGATCCCAGGCGCCGGCGAGAAACAATGGGCAGAGTTTCTTTCACCCTATGCCCCTGTTACCTAGCAGTAAAATAGGTACCTGGGTGTTAGTCAGCTGTCACGGGCTGCTTCCTGGGGGTGGAGGCCTGGTCGAGGACCGGGCCGCGGGGACACTAAAGCCCCGAAATCATCTCAAGATAAGATCTCAAGATAACCTTGACATCTTGGCTGAGACTGTTTCTTGTTTTCACGTCCACTAGTTTACCTCTCCAGGTGTCTGGGCCTTCATATAGGGTATGTTCTCCCAGTCTCTTCCCATGGTAGTCTCTCCCATGATTGACAGTCTGAATCCATTTCTGCAATCGACAGAAGGTGCGCTCTCTTATTAATGGTAGCCACGTTTGTCCCAAATGACAGAAGACCCATATTTCTGTCTGGGTCTTCTGTCATTTAGCTATATACTACTACTATAATTACCGTTTGTCCAGCAATTTCCTTGGCGCCTGTTATGTAGTCACTGAACCCTCCACAGCCTGTAACCATTTCTTCAAAACTCCTGTCTTTTCTATATAGTCGTAATGGCTTGGCGCTTTCCCCTTGATAATTCCTTTCCCTTCCTCCTCCTCCACCTGTTCCTTACCACATAGCATTCGTGCTGAAACACTGCTCTACATATTAACATTAATTGTTAGCTCAATTTTGTTTCAAATATGTTATCAATCACAACGGGAAGGAACTAGGAGAAAAAATACCTAATCCAAAATCTAAAATAACCAAGGAGCCTAATCGCCAAAACTATTTAAGTAATTCCCAAATATTTCATGCTCTCCCAACCCTTCGAAACCCAGAAAAAAAATAATCCCACCACTCTGGCAGCAGACCAAACCTTTTTTTATCTTTCTTTTAGCCGCAAGTGAACAGGTTAAGAATGTCAGCCGCAGCCTGAAATACCGCCAGTGCAAATCAGATTCCCCAGAAATCATTGGAAAAGTCGTTTTGAAAACAAGGAAATAAGTCATCACTCAGCGACTTAGTGACGCGTGCGAGTATGGAGCAGCCAGTAGGGGCTCTCGACAACCCTGCCAATACCCGCGGGGTGTGAGTCAGCCAATGAGGAGACGATGTCGGTCACGTAAGCATGTTTACCTGGGCTGCGATTGGTGTTTGAGCGCGCCATGTGATAGTGCTTGTGTTTACGGCCGGTGGAAAGCGCGCGAAACTTGGTGTTGACAACAGTCGACGTTCTTATGTTGTGCAACTCCTTTATTGTTTCTTATTGAATGAGAATTTGAAGAGCACGTGGAGGCACTGAACACTTGGAGGGAGGGAGGAAAAAGAGAGAGGGAAAGAGGGGGAGGGGGCGGATTATTACAAACCATCAGCCTTTTGCTCTTGCCTCTTGTATGTACTCACCTAGTTGTGTTTGAGAGGGTTGAGCTCTGGCTTTTGGTCCCAGAGCTGTTCTCTTTAGAACACACAGCTGTGTTCTCCCTCTCGTGCTTCATTGTCCCTCCGTTTTCCTGTTACTCTATTTATTATGCTGTTGCAGTGTTGTCTTGTACGTAGTTGACTGGTATTGCTCTTTATTAATGCTTTTAGTAACTGAGTGAGTTACCACGGTGTGAGGCAGCGCTGGGAAGGTCGGTCTTGTGCATCTCAGGGTGGGGGTTAGCTAGTGCTCTCTCATATATAATTATATATATAATATAAGAATTGGGCCTCGCGGTCGTAGTCCTAGGTCAAGAGAGGGATCAGATAAAATAAAATTCCTCGTTACTTTTTGTCTCGACCGGGAATCGAACCTGGGCCCTTAAGACTACGACCCCAGAGCACTCTCCGCTCGGCTGCGAGAACCTGAGCGTGCGCGCATCCAAACATGCAGGTTTAAACACTTATTTTTGTCCACACACTTCTTGAAAAAAAAGACGCGCGCGCGCACAAACACACACGGACGCATATCTATATATACTATACACACATTTACCTTGGGTAGTGAGGGTGTGAGGTGTGGGCGTTGTTACGTAGAGGCGTCTTAAGTCACTAGGCTGGAGGGCCACGCGTCACCCTGCATTCAGTTTGGCTCAGCCACACACACACACACACACACACACACACACACACACACACACACACACACACACACACACACACACACACACACACACACACACACACACACACACACACACACACACACACACGCACATGCACACACGCGCGCACACACGTTTCGTATGACGACGTGTCCTTGCTGGCCCCTTCTAATGGGTGATCTTAGTCATGCATGAATTTAGAATACAATGAAACATATGTTATCCTGGTGTAAGCTCTCCACGGAGCTTGAGGGCCAACCAGCTAAACATTTGTACACACACACACACACACACACACACACACACACACACACACACACACACAGCGAAGAAACTGAACAAAAAGGCGTGGAGGAACTTCCGGAATAACAGAACACCAGAAAGCAGGGAGAGATACCAGAGAACCAGGAATGAGTACGTCAGGGTGAGAAGAGAAGCAGAGAAAATTTTTGAAAATGATATAGCAAACAAAGCCAAGACCGAACCAAAGCTACTCCACAGTCACATCAGAAGGAAAACAACAGTGAAAGAACAGGTATTGAAACTTAGAACAGGCGAGGACAGGTATACAGAGAATGACAGAGAGGTGTGTGAGGAACTCAACAAGAGGTTCCAGGAGGTCTTCACAATAGAACAGGGTGAGGTCACTGTGCTAGGAGAAAGGGAGGTAAACCAGGCGGCCTTGGAGGAGTTCGAAATTACGAGAGAGGAGGTCAAGAGACACCTGCTGGATCTGGATGTTAGAAAGGCGGTTGGTCCAGATGGGATCTCACCATGGGTACTGAAAGAGTGTGCAGAGGCACTTTGCTTGCCACTCTCCATAGTGTATAGTAAATCACTAGAGACGGGAGACCTACCAGAAATATGGAAGACGGCGAATGTGGTCCCAATATACAAAAAGGGCGACAGACAAGAAGCACTGAACTACAGGCCAGTGTCCTTGACTTGTATACCATGCAAGGTGATGGAGAAGATCGTGAGAAAAAACCTGGTAACACATCTGGAGAGAAGGGACTTCGTGACAAATCGCCAACATGGATTCAGGGAGGGTAAATCTTGCCTTACAGGCTTGATAGAATTCTACGATCAGGTGACACAGATTAAGCAAGAAAGAGAGGGCTGGGCGGACTGCATTTTCTTGGATTGTCGGAAAGCCTTTGACACAGTACCGCATAAGAGGCTGGTACATAAGCTGGAGAGACAGGCAGGTGTAGCTGGTAAGGTGCTCCAGTGGATAAGGGAGTATCTAAGCAATAGGAAGCAGAGAGTTACGGTGAGGGGTGAGACCTCCGATTGGCGTGAAGTCACTAGTGGAGTCCCACAGGGCTCTGTACTCGGTCCTATCTTGTTTCTGATATATGTAAATGATCTCCCGGAGGGTATCGATTCATTT